CTGTGATTTTTACTGATAGTACTGCAAGGCCCAAGCTGAGAACAGGGCCCTACGAGGCAGCAGGCAGAGCGTCATGGGGGTGGTAATAGCCCCTGCCCTAAAATAGAACTGTACCTCCATGTTTGTGTGCCAGCTGCACAGCTCATGATCTTCCTATATGTTTCTGTGTCACAGAGGTCTTCCTGAATCATCAGTACTTCTGAATTACTTGTTGAGATGGCCACATCCCACCCTGAGCGAGGGTCCTCTCTGTTACCTGCAGCTAGCAAAGCAACTGTATTATGCTGCTTTGTGCTACATGTACATGATGGAGACTTTGTTTTGCAGCTATTTAACAGGCATATTCCCTGTCTCAGATGTAGTTCAGGTTGTTCCCATGTCCTCTGGCACAGCATTTCCTTGTTACCTGTCAGGATACTTCTGTGACACCCGTGGAGCATTCCTGTGTCTTGTGTCGAAGGTTTACATTTGAACACGAGCTGTGTGCTCTCCTTTGGCAGCCCCTTGGGAGGAGAGATGTTTCCTGTCACATGCACAAGGCCAGTCCTGATCACTCTGATAGCAACTGTGTGCTCTTGTAAGGGATGCAGTGACTGAGGCCATGGTTCATCTCTCAAGCTGTTTGTTGAGATGCTTCTGATTTAAGAGAAACGTGTCCCTGTGTCACAGTACCACAGAGGTTCTCTCGGCAGTAAAAGGGAACTGGGAAAGGTGGTGATGGTACCTAATAGCACTAGCAGCACATTTACTTAGGTGGCATCCCCAAACTCATGCTGCAGCTGAAGCCTTGCTTCACCACAGCAACCCTCCAACAGCTGCTTTCTTGGCAAATCCCTGTGCCTTAAGCTTTTACTCCTAACATTATTCTTCATCAGTTGAAGCGGCTGTTGCCCATCTCAGTGGCATTCTTCATGGGATCTGCTAGTCTGTCCCAAACCAAATTTTCCATGTGAGCCCCCTTCACTTTCATCCACAGCCGTTAGATGGACACCATCTCTTCCCCAAAGTCTTCTCTGCTCCTTACTGCCAGCTTTGCTCAAATCCACTCAGTTGTCACCTCCCATATTTTGTGTATTATGATATTTGAGGATTCTCCTGACAGTCCAGCTGACAGTCATATGCTGAGATGGGAACTGCAATTTTTATCTAAAACCAGATATAAGTGTTTGTCCCTTGCAGTTTCAGGGAAAGAATGAAAATGCATCCTCTATAGGTTTTGACACCAGAAAACAAACACAGGGGATTTACAATCCTTTGGTTTTGAAGAAAATATAACGATCCATGACTGCAAACGTCTCAGTGTTAGCAACACAAGACATATAAATCTGTCTTTCAGGATCATCTGTGTGAAACTTTTTCTGCTTCCTAAGTAAAATCCATATGCACAGCTCATATTATTGCTCTGTGAAGTTTGGGATTTGTGTACCCTATCATGATGAAGTCCAATACTACTGCAAGCTGTTCAGATAAGGTCCATTGTGAGGTAGCCTACAGACCTCTCTCAAAAGTTTCTCTTCTTTTGTAGATTTTAAAGCCCAGTCCACAGCAGAGCCCTCCCTACCCATCCAGAGCTCCCATCTAAAGCATTGCCTTTCTCCTTTAAACTTTTCCACCTCTCCCTATCATTCCCTATCTGTTTGCTTGCTTTGATCATTCTGATTTCTTATCTAACCCTGTTCCTTCCACTTCTCCTCCCTTCATCCCTTCCTTTTATTTCCCCTGACTACACAGGTCTTTTCTTATCAGCTGGTCCTGAGTTTCCCAAATACACATACACACTTACGCACACACACATACGCTGACACAAATAAATAAATAAATAGAAAGGTCAGTGAGCAGAGCAGCAATAACCCCTAAAACAGTACTATCAGAGGGACATGATTGATCAATTGAATTCCATAGCGGCTCAAAAATGTGGGATTAAGTAGTGTATTATACGCACAATGAGTTGAGGCATGATGTTCATTTCAAGTTCATTTCGCCAGCCCTCTGCCACCAGATCAGGCAATCAATAGGGGCAGCAGATATCATATATCACCTCTCTCCGTGCTGGGGAGAGAGCACCATAATCTCTCGCAAATTTAGAGTGACAGATTTGTCAAGAACTGAAGGGCCCCTGAATAAATGAAGGAAAAGAGACTCCTACAGCGGCTTGGGAAAACTGTGGTTTCAGCTTCTTCACACAAAGGCATGGCCTGTGCACACCCAGGAGACACACGTGCACAGGGCTTTGCAGGCAGACAGGAACGGCAAACACATGTGCATGCACGCACTAACCTGTAAACCACTCAGGACAATGCACTGCGGTAAAATCTGGTTTAATGATGATCAACAGAAGTTTGATTGGATAAGCGAGCACCCATCCTCTCACACCAAACACCACGCATGTTGTAGAGCTGCCATTCTGGAAAATCAAATATAGCCTAAACCAGTCACCATGGACAAATGGCTGCTCAGGCATGTACGGTGTTGCAGAACCTAAAGAATACAAGAACAATGATCTACTGCAGAAATACCCACGTGTATTAGCATCGTGGTGTGCACAGTCATGCACACTGACTGACACACATGGAAAAATCCTCAAAGACGAAGAGCTTCACAGGCTGCAGACAGGTTGCAATAAGGGCTGATTCAGAAACACTTGTTTTTTTCCCCAAGCCTGGACCCAGTTGTTCTGTGCCAGCTTTCTGCAGGGACGACCAGAGGGAAGGTCCTACTGGAAGTGGGAACATGAACCTTGAGGACTACCCTAGTCCTTCCAAAAGCCACCCCCTGCAGTAACAACACAGTCCATCTAAAACTGCACTGACACACACAGTGTGCAGTCCACCAAGCCTGGTCTTTACTTTGTTTTCTCTTAGTTGAATCCGTCATGAACTCCAGCTTTCAGGAACTTGAGAATTTTCCCTCATGCAAATATGCCTGAGGAGGGGACAAAATGCCAGGGATCAGTGCCAGTGAGCAGCTCTGCTCTGGTCAGTGGAAAAGAAAAAGAGAAAAGGCTGTTTGAGGGAAGGCTGCTGGCTGGGACAAATCAATATGTAATATTTGCTATGGTCTTGCGAGTGGTACTGTACTATGTTACTGTATATAATGTACTATTGATTATATCATATCATATAATCACCTATAAACGGATATATCTCATAGCCAGAAGGCAGCAGGCTCAGTTATAACTCTAGGCCACCAGTCAGACATTACTGTGCCAGGAAAATACCCCTTGGCACCATCCACAAGCTAAAAGCCAAAGTGGCAGAGTGGCATGGTTTTGGCTGTTGCACAGTGAATGCCACTCCAGGCTCCTGGGAGCATCATGTGCCCATGAGCATCTCACAATTGCATGAAGGAAGGAAAAGATCTATACAGGTCCCTCAACTACTGTCATGACAGACAGCAAGTTTCTGAGATTCACAGACTGAAAGCCACCAGGGAAGGCTGAAGTATGAGGAATAATAGTGGAAAACCGGGCAGGTAATTGCAGCGACAGAGTGAGAACCTGATCTTAGCTTAGAAAGGGTGATAAGACAGTCAGACTTGTGTCTGATAAAGCACAGTAGGTAGAGATTCAGCATGGAGGGTATAGAGGTATATCAGCATGGATGAGACAGGGGATTATAACCAGTCTCACCAAAGTTAGGCTGAGAGGTGACAGCAGAAAGATACTCAGCACAGTTGGAGAAGATTATAATGAGCAGACTTGCCTCAGATGAGATGAGGGATTATGACAAAGGAAGATACACTTCAGCTGGGACAGGAGGTTATAACAGACAGACTCACCTTGGATGTGACAGATGCTAATAGCAGAAGACTCACTCATTTCAGATAAAAAGGGGTTATAACTGAGACAAATGCACCTCATTTGAGGTGGGGGATAACAGGGAAAAAAAAGCCCCAACAAAACCAGGTGGGTGATAAGATGGTTTATCACAGGGAAAGATTCACTTTGGATGGGGCAGGGCATTTATAATGGACTCACCTGGGAGGGGTTAAGTGGGCTGTAAGAGACATGGTGTGGCACAATAGAGACAGACACCTGGAACATGACAGGAAGCACTGCACTAAGATTGGACTGTGTCAGAGAGCTATTGCAGGGACAGAGATGCAAGGCTTCTACCAGAAAAAGGCTTTTTTCCTAGTAAGGACAAAGGAACACCAGGAAGGCCAATTCTTACTGAATAGGACTAGATTTGTAATACAATAATTCAGTTCGGATAGGAAGGGGGACTGACAAAGATTCAATCTCCTTTTGGAGGGAATTTTATAACAGAGATATGGGTTGTGATAAATCACGAGCTACACACAGAAGAATGGGGTAGAGATTATAACAGAAACCAACATATGCTGGATGGGACAGACACTCCACAGAGGGAGACTTGTCTGGTGAAATATGGAGTCAGAAACAGGATCATTTGTGTTACCTGAGGGGGATGAGAGAATGAGATGATCCCCTTATACCCTAGGTGCCCATTACCTGGGCTATGAGACAAGATACAACTTCGACTGGGACTGGGGAGCTACAATAGAGACTGACTCCCTTCCAAGCCGTAAGCCCTCTTTCAATTCCAGGATTCCTCAGCCCTCTCCAGTATAGGTCCATCCTCAGCTCTTTGGTTTCTCTGTGAGCTGCCTCTCCAGTAGCCTTCTAGCGATGCTAATCGCTGTGCTTTGCTCCCATTTTATGCTCAGCAATGGAGATTTGGCAATTTTTAACACAGAAAATCACTGGAACCGAAACTCATCTCTGAGCTGAGCTCCATTCTCCACAGCCTCACTCATCCTGGGCTGCAGAGTCCCACAGAGCCCACAGGAGCAGGCCGGCTGCCCCAGCAGACAGAAGGGGGCTTCCCTCTGGTCCCTGCAGCCTCCTCTTCCCACAGGAGTGGCACAGCTCCCTGGGTGGAGGTGGAGGGCCCGCTCTTTCCCACTCTGTCTTTGTCCTGCCTCCCTTTCTGATCCAAGCCAGGGTGGTGCTAACTCCCTGTTTTCTCTGTGCCCTGCAGATGTATCCGAGGGCTCAGTTCCCAACGGAGATTCCCAGAGCAGCGTGGACAGTTTGCGGAAGCACCTTCGAGGCGACACTTTCACCCAGCAGCAGCTGGAAGCTTTAGATCGAGTTTTTGAGCGTCCTTCTTACCCTGACGTCTTTCAAACATCAGAACACATCAAATCTGAGCAGGTGAGGGCCTAGCCTGGTACGGGCACCGACAGGCACCCATAGGATGATGGCAGGGAGATTCCCTCACTGAAATCACTCTCTTTCTCTTCACCCCTTGTTCTCACCCTAACCTGTAATTGCACATACACCACATTTACATTTTACAGCACCTCCTAGTTCTAAATATGTCCCTGTGCTAATGCATGTGTATATATGAGCTCTACCTTTCCTTGTGAACTTGCCATATGCGTGCACACTGTGTTCTCCCTAAATCCCCATGTCTGCCTTTCCCTCTGCACACACACCTGGAGGTGTGCAGGCGTGTTCTTGCCATGACCATGCAAATACTGCCGTGCATGTTCACCAGCACACAGCCCTGCTTGGAAACTCCTGCACTCTCATATCACATTGGGGACTAGTGAGCCACAGGGTTGGGCTTTAATGGAACAGTTTCCTTTATGACTCAGAGCTGAGACTGATCCCATCTCCAACCTAGTTTTCTGCACTTCTGCAGCTCTGCCCCCCTTTCCCTTACTCCCCCGCTCTCCTTGGCCTTTTATCCCAAAAGCTGTTTGTCTTAATAAAATGAAAATCAAAAGTCTTTTTAAACCGCCCCAAGCCATAAACCAACAAAGGAAGAGAAGGAGAGGCTGGCTGTGGACTCCCTTCATCCCAGAGTCCCTGGGTTTATTACAATGAATAACCTTTATTTACTTTCATTAGACTATTAAGCACCAGCACAGTCATTTTTCCCCCTGAAACTCTGAGCAGGGCCCATAAAGCAAATCCGAAGCCTAATTGAGTTCATTTTAATTTCTCTCCGATCACAGCGAATTACTCTGGTGATAAATCAGGGGGCAGGCTCACCCCCAGTAGAAGGCCTAATTTGCAGCTAATTACAAAACTGATTTCTACAGGAAGATCAATACAAGAAGGAATTGGAAATGACTAGGCAGTCCTAGCCAAGCAGGGACAGGGGCGGGGAGGGGGCAGTGTGTGTGGAGCCCGCTGAAGGAGGGGGAGATGTGGGGAGGGTGCTGGGGAAGCACATGGAAAAAAAACGGAGCAGAAAGAGCAGAAAATCAGATTTAATTTAACGTAATATTAATCAGAGCAACTTTTCCTGCTGTTTTGTAGCCTTCCTGGTCTCCCCAGCTCCTGCGTCTGGTCCGGAGGCTGCCACAATAAAAAGGCAATTACCAGAGCCTTTCGGACAGGACACCCTTTCAGATTCAATGGCTCTCCCCCTCCCACCCTTCTGTTAGCCATGTGGCTCCCCCCTCCCCAATTTCATACCCCAATGCACAGAGTGACAGAGGCAGGGGATGAGGCTTCTTTGTTTGTTTTTAAAGAGCTAGGACCTAGGTAGCAATGGAGGGGAGGCAGAGGACTCTGCAGACAGGCTGGCTACAGCAGGCCAACACTGGCTGCTTCCTACAGCCTGCCTGCCCCAGTCATGTCACTGCAGTCCTTGTCACCAGGGCAAACACCTCCCGGCTCAGCCAAGAGGAGGGGACATGGATTTCCCCTTTCTTCTCCCCTGGACTGGCACAGGCAGCCATCTCCACAGCACTGAATGAGGGCTTGGTCATCCCACACATAACAAGCAGGGTCTCTCACTCCTGTTCCCCTTCACAGCAGCACACTGACGGGTGGGATAGTTTTCATCCCAAGAACCCCTCACAACCCTCTTGTCACTTCGTCTTCTCTGTTTCCTCCTCCTCCTCCTCTTCCATCTGTGCAGGGGTTTGCATCTCTCCTCTTCCTCCCCCCCATCTGTACACCCTTCCCATTCTCCCGGTGCATCAATAGCGAGCTGTCTTTCTCCTCTCTTCCCCAGGGTAATGAGTACTCCCTCCCAGCTCTGACCCCTGGTCTCGATGAAGTCAAATCAAGTCTATCCACCTCTGCTAACCCAGACCTGGGGACAAATGTGTCAGGACCCCAGACGTACCCTGTGGTGACCGGTAAGCTGCCTGACCAAACAGCAGAACCAAGCTTTTTAATTTCCCTCATCACCATTAGCTTCTGCTTTTTCTGCTAATGCAAGATATCCCTCTGTGGCAAACACGGAAATAGACAGAAAGACTGTGGAGGACATAAGGGCTAAAGAGAAGCTTGACATTCAGAGTATTGGCAGTTGCGGGTACACCGAGAGGTGTGAACCAAAGGCAGGCAAACCCAGGCACGCATCGGGAACTTGTGTACCCAGATGGGGCTTAGGGATGGATGTTGGTGGAGGACAGATATATCCAAATAAGAACTGTGAATTTTTCCTTTGTGTCTGAGAACAAGAGGGTCGTGGCTTACCCGTGATCTGAGCTTGGTTTTGGAAGAAATAATAACTTAAGTTTTATTCAGCACTGGCATTTGGAAGGGGCATTTGCAAACTAAATACTGAGGTCTGCTGAATGGTGACTGCTAAACTCCCTCTTCCTCAAGCCCATGAGTCTCTCATCCCCCATATACCTCAGGGGATGTTATATGTAAGGGGCATACAAATTTCTTTTGCCAAGAGAAGCCATTCACAGCCTTCCCTCACATGTGGGGACATTAAACTCAGGTGTGCCTGGAAGAGCAGGAAATGAGAGTAAGTGCATGACAGCAGAGGAATTGGGATACACAGAAGGAGAAAGCAATTTCTGCAGCAGCTGCTCTTTTCTCGTGTCACGTGCAAGGCCTGGGCAGCACAGGGCTGTCCTGTGGCCACGAGCATGCCAACCTAGTACAGGTGTTAGACTGGCTGCCCTGTACATGTTTACAGCTCTGATGAGACATTCTGGTGCCACAGACCTTCTTCTGAGACTTTAGTTGCCACTGGTCCCTGCTCACCCAGCTACCATAGACTGCACATCTCTTCCTGGCTAGCTAAAGCAGCTGGTGAAGCCTGAGTGACTTGCTCCTCCTTTGTATATCCCCTGTTTCCTACAGCTGCTTTGGCTCCTTTGGAAAACTCATGGTGTAAGCTGACAAATAACTCATGACAGAGAGGTGAAAGTCCTGTAAGCAAGGGAAGGAGCTGTTGCTTCTTGGCCAAAAAGCTGTTCTCTGATGGCAAAGAATCAAGAGAACTAGAGTCTGTATCTCAACATTTTCTTGCAGAAGCCCCAGCTAATAGCTCCTCTGGTCAAAGCAGTTCATGGCCAAGGCAGGCAGTCATTCATAGTTCAACAAACACTTAACAAAGGCATATTGTTGCATGCAACTTCTGGCTACCACGAACTTTGGGACTGAGCATCAGTAACAGTTACCCCAAATACAGAGAAGATCCAGTGTGTGGTCTGCAAAATATCATGGAGAACCACGGGAAGGTGAACTGCATATTTAGGGAGTGTCCAGAAAATGTGGCATCCCCAGGCTTTCATGGCTTTTCCTGCTATCAGACTTGATCCAGGATCCTTGTAGCTATGTGGTTTCTTAGCCAACCAGAAAAATATGACTTAGCTGTGGCAAAATTGTTCCACCTTCCGTTATATTTGCATTTGCATATGCAAGACAAAACTCAGCTGGCACCCATCTACTATTTAGTAGATCTCCATCTCTTATAGGAAATGCTTTATGGTCTATGGAGGGCAAAGCCAGTAGGAGAGCAGTACTGTCCTTCCTTCATGGCAGGAACATCCCCGTAGCTGGATATGAAGGTGAGGCACCTAAAATCAGTTTAAGATTTAGAGGGGCATTAAAATAATTCTTTTTAGTCCTTCTGCCTAAGTGAAGATGGTGCATTCTAGCCTGTTAATAATAGGAGCAGAATTCCTGAAGGCCTGGGACACCACACAAGCTTTGGACAAGACTCTCACAAGGGGACAGCAGGAGACAGATTGGGCCTCACAGAAGACGCTGTGGGCTGAGACAGAAAATCTTCTTCATGTCCCCCCACCCTGTGCCTTTCCCACTCTGTTTCCTGCAACACTCCTAGCTGAGCTCAAGAACATCCCCATCTGATCCATCTGGATCCAAGAGTGAGAAAAGTTCATTTCAGACCCAGCTTGACATTCCCAGGTGGCAACTTAGCACTAACATCTCAATCTGTATGAGACATTTCAATCAGTGCAGAGTAACAAAAGCAGAACTATTAGCACTGGGAGCTGTTCACTGGTGGTAATGATGGGGAAACTCAGAAACTGGAAATGGAGAGGGGAAAAAAAACCCTCAACACCATGGAAGGCAGAAGGGGAAGAGGGGCAGAAATTTTTTCCTCTACACTTAGGACAGGATCCAATGTTTGGATTAATGGTGCCATTACCCAAGAAAGGACTTCAGATAATGCGCATTCTTAAAATGTTTTTGCTGGCAATTAAATGGTTGCAGTTATTGATCTTCATCGATCTGATATCTTCAATTTGCATAATCTATTAAAGATGAATGATTCATGATATGTTTGCTGTGGGGCTGGGCAATGCTTTCAGGACCAGAGAGCTGAGGAACTCAGTGCTGCCCCCTGATCTACCCCAGGCAGGAAGGAAGAGGCTGGGAGCAGGCAGATTCCTTTGCTGTCACCCAGATCCCTCTCCCAAGAAGGGATATTGGAGCAATAGCTAGTAGTACTGAACTGCTGACTGCCTGTTTTGCTGCTACAGTATCATCTTTGAAATGCCTCTTTGTTCTTCTCCCAGAGCAGTCTGTGAGCCCAGGTGGTATCTGAAACAAATGTGAAACAAGTCCACCCATGCAGAGTACAAACTCCCATGTGCAGTCACTTCAGGATGCAAATTTATCCCAGTCTATAAGAAAGTGTTCCCAGCTCAGACTTCCCAGACAGAAAAAAAGTGTCACTAGCTCTTTCCAAACTAAAGCTGTCTGGCGCTGGATTCTTGCCCTCTGTGAAGCCTTCAGAGAAAGTACCTCCTTAAAATCTTGGAATGCAGTGAGATAGTTAAGTACAGATGTTGCTGAAGTCCCTTGATCTGTCTGTGAGCTCCCTAGAACTGATGAGCTAGAAATGCTGCGAAACAGGCAGCCACCTCCCCAACGTGAGGAAGGTCTTCCTCAAAGTCCTGGCATCGATTCAACACACAGCTTAGTACCACACTTACATACAGCACAGCCTTGCCCAGTGCTGCCAATATCAAATACTCCCTTTCAGATGATTATTCTAGCGCACCTTAGATGGTCCATTTATTACTCACACCTTCTAAAGCAAGTAAACAAAAACATTTGTTTATTATGGAGCAGACAGGTCATCCTTATTTCTCCCTATTAAGTGTCTGCGAAGAATTCCCATGAACAACCTGACACTTAGGGGCTAGCTGGGCACTAGGCTAGGAAACATGCTCTCTCTGTGCTTCATACAGAACAATGCACAAGTTTTCAACTTCCTTGTGAAGTATCAAAGAGACAAAGCTCTTAAGAGCTACCTGAGAGCACCACCTCACTTCTTCCTTCACACAAAGCCCATTAGACCAGCTACAACTTGCCTTGATGTTGCACGGCCATTATAGATAGACTGGTGTAGATCCTTGACAGTTTCTTGGACAGCATATTTGGACACCAATGAGATTTCCTAGAAGCAAAAACTGAAGCCTGAACATTCCAAGATAAGGCAAGCACATGCAGTTGAACACCAAGACAAGAACTCTGTTGTTCAGAGATGCTCTTCTTCAATTATTTCTATTGAAGGTGAACAGCCCAGGCCCAAATATAAACCTACACAGGGCTAAGTAAATACAGAAAACTTCAATAGTTTTCTTTTTACTCAGCAGTTTCCACAGATCTTTGAGTCTGGAAGGTACTCAGTAGCTAACACCCAAGAGGTGAGAGGAGGAGAACCTTAAGATTTTGACACTGGCAACAGGAGTCCTCTAAAGGCACAAGGTTGTTCACAGAAGCCTTGAATCCTTTGAGAACAAAGGTTAAGTTCCTCCTATAAGCACCATCAGAAGTCACATATTTTGGAATAGGAGTGCATGGAAGAAGTGAGGTGTCTTCAAAACAGGTTCTGAGTTCCAGGGATTTAGATTAAAAGTTTGGCAGCAGAGTTCCAACTCAATTATCTAGCCCAAAAGCTGCTCAACAGAGAGCAACTATGGGAAATAAAACACAATGGACTTTTAATGTATGGTTTCAAACTTGCTTATTAACAGACTACTAAACAGGAGGATTTACCTACTAGATGGATCGTAAAATTACAAAAACGTAAAGAAAAACTTCCCTTAATTGAATCCTAGCACTTTTAACTAAACAGACCTTGTTTGCCAGCCCACTACAGCCAGTGAGATCTACAAAGAGAAGGTAAAAGACAAGCCCAAGAAAAACAGTGCAGACAAAGCTCTTCAGGAACTTCCACCATTGACTGAAATGGGAGTAGGTATCCCCTTCTCCTCCTGTGAGGAGGTTTCTGAGTGCTTCTGTTCTATGATTAGCACCTATTAACAAGAATAGGTTACTTTTAAAATCATCACCACCCACCAAAGCAGCTACCATGTCCTGTATAGAAAATATTTCTTCCCTTCTGGGAAACAAATTTTTCGCTAAAGCAATGAATATCATTCAGGGTGAGAAGTCTTGATGACAACTCACAATGCATCAAAAAAAGGCACCAACAAAGCACAAACCCCATCAATCTCACTTTCCTCCAGACCTCCCCTCTCTGGCATAGGGTCAGATTTTTTTCAGTTTAATTTTTTTAATACATACATGAATGTACGCAAAAAAAAAAACCAAAAAACCTCAGAATTACTGATATAAAGGCTCCTTTATGTATGAAAGACATACAAAAATAGTACTTAATCAGCATCTGATTTCTATGAAAGTTGTGATGCTAAGGAAGGGGAAATCACTGGCTCCAAACCTGAATCCAAAGTTTTTCTGAAATGATAAACAATCTTTGGAGAACTCCAGCCTCCTGCAAGGTGAAAAGATATTATTTCCTTTGTTTCAGCTTAGTGAATGAACAAAGAGAATTTTGTTCAGTTCAATAACCAGGTCATTCAAAAGTAAGAAACAAACTAGGATTTGAAAAAGCAGG